CCACAGATCCTAGGAGCACAAAGACAATGATAAAGAGCATCAGCACCTTGAAATCCCACTTCTGAGTATGCCATAACTTACTTTCAATTTCTTGACCTTTTGTTTCAACTCCTGCATGCTGGTTGGAGGTTTTGCTTTTTGCAGCTCTTCCAGCTCTGTCTCAGTTTTATCAAGCCAAGCAGAGACATCACTGAGATCTGAGTTCAGCTGCTGCCACAGCTGCGCTTTTTCTTTCATCCTAAGTTTACTTCTGAGGTCTTGAGCGTGGAGGAGCTCCCACCCACCAATAATGCCTATAAATCATAGAACAACAAACGTTTAAATCTTCAGTAAGGTGAAGAGTGCATAAAACAGATGCAAGGAGTTTTAAGAGTAAATTATTCTCCAATCTACTCAAGGCCAAATAATTGCTACCATGTACTACTGTTATCCAGACACATTTTTTCTTGAGATTCTGCAGTGTCTTAAGTTTCATTTTACTGGTCAAGTTAGCCACATAGTAATGCTACACAGGATTTTAATCACATTAATTGAAGACGTTTTAATTCACTTGGAAGAATAAAGAAAATCTAAGGAGACGGAATTCAATGAGCCTAGCTGCGATTTGGTAGATATCAAAATTCATAATGGGACAAAGTACGATCCACCAGTCGGGACTCAGGTTTATGTTTCATCAATTCAGTGCTAAAGGAGATGGAGATGCCACCTGTGCAATCATTAACACTAATTATGGAAGGACATCTAAGTCCTTCTCAGAGGTCTTCCTATTCATCCCATGGATGGGACTCAACCCTGGTCCATTTGTGAGACCGGAGACACAAACTAGGTAAGCTGGTGCCTATAGCTGCAGTCTTCTTTTTATCACTTGATTCGCTTCTGTGATTGCAGTACAGATGTGTTGTTATTACAATCTCAAGCACCTGAAACCAGGAATGAGGTCCTGAAAGGTTAAGAGAACCAGCTTGTTGGCTTATTTGGAAGCAAGGACCACAGTGAAGAATGGAATACATTACCAGCTTTGGCAAAACACTTCTGTCAACGGGAGCTGTAGCATCTTGTTATATGGAGTACCAAAAACTGAGAAAACGAACTATAGCAATCTTATTTTAGACAAAGAGACACACTTCTTTGGTTTGAAATCTGATTAAAAGTCTCTGAAGTATTCAATATCACACAAAAGTGAAATTGTTCCCATTTATTCCAACCAGCAAAGAGATAGAAGTATATTATGAGTGATAAAAATCTCAATACTGGCAGGAAATATAAAAGCTTAGAACAGCAAACACGGGTTGGACAGTACCAGGTGAGAAGGCAGCTCAGCAAATCTTAACAAAATACATTAATTTAGAGGATAGCAGTTTACTTCTATTCTGTTGGCAAGGCAAACATGCTGCCTTTGTGCCATCTCTGCTTTGTCTCCCCCAGAGTCACAGGACAAGCACCACAGCATCAAAGCCACTCCCAGCGCTCCGTACCCGACTGCTGCTCTGCAGCTGCTTTATTCACAAGCTCGTTGTCAGCTTGGGGTTCTCCACTGCTCATTTCAGGAGAGGTAATTTTCTCCTTGTTGCTGCTGTTGCTGCTTGCAGAGCTGAGCTTCTTCACCTGGAATGACATTTTGGTGAGTGAGCCCTGCAGGTTAACAAACCATCAAAGGTGAAGCCTCATCTGTGTTACTTTGGGGTGGCTGGGCTGCTGCTGAGCTCTTCCATGTCAGATTTAGCACTGGGCTTCCACATCTTTGCTAACAGTTTACACTGGCTCTCTGCGCCTTCTCAGTAAACGAACACTGACGCTCTTAGATGGATTCTAGGTCTTGGCAATATTGACTCTAAGGCTCTAAGATTGGATTAATGATGACAAAAGCAGCCAGATACCAGTACCACTAGTGCCTGGAAGAGTGCTGACAACTGGTCCAGATCCACTGAGCCTGGCAGCTGCTGTTGAAGCCACAGCTGGTAACCAGCCACCAAGGCTGAGGTACCAAGGAACGATAGCCATTTTGGCACATTTTTTAGTGCCCAGCAGCAGATGAAATAGTGGGTTGCATGCTAGAAAAGGACTCTCCAAATCGGTCTGCTTAGGAAAGGTAGATATGTCAGTAAGTATTAAGGGACACCTTCTCCTTGACAGACGTAAATTCTCCCAGACTTGTCCTTTGACAATAGAGGGAGTAAGATCCTCCAGACACTGACTGATCAGAGACCTAACATGATTGTTCTGAATGGCTTTAAAGAAGCTCTTCTAGCAAGCGGATAGAGAATCTCACTGGTTCCCTGAGCCACCAGAAATAATGCCTAAGTTTGTGAACACACCCTCCGCAACTAATCTTTTCCTTCATGCTGGAGGAGGGAAGAGGACAGAGTGATGCAGGAACAACAAACAGTGTAGTACAGCTTCAGTGCCCACAGGGCCTCCAACTCACATAGTCTGGCTTATAGGGAGTACTTGCCTCTGGATCAGACAACACATTTCCAACCATCTCTGCCTGGTTGTATGGGTGTTTCCTGCAGACTGGGCTACCTGGAGAATGCCAAGGATGAGCTTCTGAAAGAGACTTTTCTGAAACAAATAAAACCAAAACCGTATCCCATGAGAGCAAAATCCCATCTCCACAGGAAGCTGTTGCTTTGTATTAAGTTAGAAAGCGCTCTGAATAAAATGGTATCAAGTTATGGCATAAAAATGACAGTTTTGCAGCTTTCCTTGCAAAGCATGCACATTTGCAAAACATCAACAGTGTTCAAAGGTAATGAGATGAGAGCCATGCAGTTATGGGACATTCTGTTTTCTTCTGGAAAATGCTTCAATACAGGTACGAGTATTCAAAAAATAAAAGAAAAAGGCTGCACTGTGGTTTTGGAAAGTTTGTATCTCAACAATACTACCACACATCTGCAACGCATTTCAGAAGGGACAGGTATAGACATGTCCTGATTTGGAGAACGTTTGTTCTGGATTTAACAGACAGGACACACGGTTCTGTCACGCACAAAACACAAAAAGTACTTGCATATGCAATTAAAATAAGAACCAACCAAAAAAGTGATACTACCCAGAGCAAACCACCAAGAAAGTACCAAAAGACTTTGAATCGATATAGAGAAATGCACATCAACCACCTTGGCATTTACCAGGCAAAACCTAAATGGTATGTTCTTGGCTGCTTTGTAACGTACACGTGAATACTGCAGCGTAAGAACACCATGACAGGATGAGACATGGTGTCCACACAAGGCAGGAAGTCAGACATTACGTATGAAAGAGGTTGAGGAATATAGCGTGCAGCACAGGGAGATTGCCATGTTCAGACACATGCATTAGCAGGTGCCTACCAGAAGATGCTTTCAAAGTTTTTGTGGTCATTTTAAGATATGCCTCAGGATTTTCAGTGATTTCTACATCTGAAAAAAGAATAATGTCATTTTCCTCACTATTCAATATTTTCCAACTATTAAAAACAACTAAAACAATGAGGGACAGCAAAGACAAATAACAAAATAAGTTGTTGGTACTATTTCCATCAAACAACCTTAAAAAGTGAGGTTTCCAAAATCCTTATGTTTCTGAAAATATAGACTTGGTTTAGACAATACCATTCCTTTCATCAAAACCTCTAAGAGATGAGACTGCTCACATCCATTAATAGTACTTGAAAACCAATCAACAATGTGGAGCAAGACTTCAGTCCCCCCCCCCCGCCAACTTCCCACACAGGGACATCCTGCAGTTGTCCATGTCAAAATAAACAGCTGGCAATCGGTTCTCACCTGACAGAGAACTGTAGTATGTTGCTTCTTCTTCGTCTTCATGAGAGGAAGAACCTCCCACATCCCCTGTGTGATCCCACTCGAGTGGGATGGAGTCAACACTGACAGGGGTTTCACGGCCTGATCTTTCATGACCTTGGGTAGGGGGCATAAGGTGGCAAAGGGACTGTGAGGGCCCCTCACTGATAGCCTTCTTATGCCAGGGATCATGCTGGATTTCTCTGGAGTCTTCTGGATCTGTCTCATTTTCAGAGGTTTCGTTTTCATCATCCAATTCCTAAAAATAAATAACAATTATTGCGTATTAGCAAGATTTACAATAGTTCTACACGGCTTAATGAGCTAATGATTGAGCCACACAGTACTACTGAGACTTTGTGGTCAGCTGTAGTAATTGAAGACCATGTGCCTAAAACTAGAGGCAAGCATCACTTCTGCCTCCTTCCTCTTTCACCAAAACAATCCTCACATCACCAGCTACCTCTCATCTTTCAAGACACCCAACCACCACCATAACATCTATTTCTAGCTTGCAGGGAGGGGTATCCACTTCCAAATGGACACCACAAGTCAGCAATGAAATGACGGTCAGGCAGGGGTGAACGGCTACTTCCTCTACCTGGCTTTTTAATAGATGTTCCTTCTTTTTGAGCCAAAGCAAACTGACCATCAGCTAAATGTTCCCAGTGAAAAGTAAAGAGCATACTGTTCCCCATTCAAGGTTCCCACAAAAAAGTGGACAGATGGACCCTCACAAACAAATCCATAAAAAGATGTTCTAAGCACGCTATTAAACTAAAGAAAATAAAGCAATATTAAAAATACCAAAAAAGCTTTCGAAGCCCTCAAATCACTACTATCTAAACATTAACCCTGTGAATTACTCCCATGCTATTATCCAGATTCTGCAGATGGAGAACCAACACAAGAGGCGTGAGGAGACGAGACTGGTGACAAAGTTTTAGCAAAACTGGCACAACTGCTGAGAAGCTCCTGACCCTTTTGAGGTCCAACCACTCAGGCAAGCTGCTAGACATAAGCAATGAGCATTGCAGTTCAAACACCAAAATCTTGCCAAAGCATCACAACAACTTTTGCTTCTTACAGGATGCTTTGAAGTCAGTCTTTGATGAAATCGGGCAACTCGCCCAAACACTTCCTGGCAGTATCTATGAAGTTCTTCCAATTCGTCTTCGATCAGGGTAGCATCCAAAGGCTCACTCTTCTGAATCAACTGCTCCCCAAAAACTATTAGCTGATCAATCTTGTTGGTGTTTAGTGTTATTTCCTGCTGGAAACCCTATTTGAAACACACAAGAAAAAGAATTACTTCTTCAATGTCCCTTTCTAGCCTAAGGTTTGTCCTTCTTTTCTCGCTCACTACAGTGAAAGAAAAGCAGCAACTGACATTGATGTCTAATTTCATTTGGCAAATATCTTTTTACTCAAGCAGTCCAGAGGTCTGTTTTATTAGCAGGATTACAGTTCCAAATGAAGTGGCATTTTCCACCCATGTGTACATCAATATCATCACAGAGTCCTGAGCCTGCAGGGGATCACGACACGAGAGTTCAGCTCATCAGAGTTTATTTTTCTTTTGGGTACACATAATCTTTTTCTCAGTAGCAAAGAAGTTTGGCTGGTTGGGCCTCCAGCCTACACAACAGTAAATCTACATCCCAAAACAATTAGTGCAGGGGGAAAGGAGAAACGAGCATATGAGCAGGTCGCAAAGAACCAGTATATTCTTTAGAATCATTCCACACGCCCGCTGTCTTATTTCTGTTTGAAAGTCCCACTTACAAAAAATGCACTCAGAGGAGAGATCCTACCATAATGTCAATTCGAAAAAAAAACTCATCAGAAAAGAACACCTGACTTTAGGAATGTAGCTTTCACAGTTAATCTGCATGCGCTTCCTTCCAGGCCAGATATCACTGTCACTGACACTCAGTGTTAGGAGAAAATGGCAAGAACAGGACTGAGCTTGAACACTGAATCTGACTTTAAATACTGTACAACTTAATCTTGATTCAGAGGATAAGTCTTAACAATTTCCTGGTGTCTTACAGCCCTACAGAGATCTGTTGGCTAATGCGAAGTTCCAGAAAAGTAGATGATTCTGTCAAGAGAGGGCAGCCCAATAGGATCAGCTGGACTACGTTAAACTGCTTGATAAGGATACGTACATTTAACTGGCGCATTTTGTCACCGAAGTTACTTTTTGAGAAGTGCTCCACGTTTGTCAGCTGGAGGTCCATTTCTGTGAGCCAAACAAGGATGCCTTCCCTCATGCCCTCAAACTCCTCTCTCCGATTGGTGAAGTGCTGAATAGAAAGAAGGAGACCACTGTTAGAAGACTTCAGGTACTGAAAAAACGGGTTGCAGGAGCCCCCTGAAAACAGTGTTTTGTTTCAAAACTGCCGTTCACCTTAAAAGCCTTGAGGGCACAAATGGCACCACGTCACAAATATCACCACGTATAAAAACTGTCTCCTTCCTGTAGTGATGCAGGAACAAAGCATCCTATATTAATACACTATTCATATGGGAGAGGGAATAAAACTTCAGCAGTGCAAGATGCTTCTATAGAATTATATTCTGGCTTCCACACTGTATACCTTCTCCCACATCATATACTAGTGTAACAGTTATTTGGACTCAGGTTTAACATCTAATTTGTTCTAAACTCAAAAGACAGGCAGACAAAGGAAGCAAGCTCGATCTCTAATTAAAGTAATTAAAACTATGACATTAAAATCAGTAAAATAATGGAGAAGCTGGATCATGGATGACCATGCCAGTGTAACTAATACATCATGTGACGTGGAAGCCAGGAGGAGCTCTCCTAACAGACACGTAGCTTGCAGTGCCTCAGTTCTCCTCGGTGGATTTACTGTTCAGGAAGGGGATTATATGACATCCCAAACACAACAGCTTCTAACTGCACAGACCAAACCCCATCAGCACTCTCATGGCCTCATCCACTGACTTTTGGGATCTATAATTTTACCTGTCAATTGCTTGCAGCACTGCTGTATTTAAAAATCAGGCAGTGACAAGTTTCCCCCAGGGCACAGTGCAGAATATCTGCCCAGAGATCAGTTTAGCTGGACAAGCAGGACACTTCTCTGAAGTGTCACAAATACACTCTTCGATAGCATTCTTTTGGCTGGCAGAGAGCACAGCAGGAGCTGGTGACAGCAGCGTGTCTCTCCATCACATCTCCATGTTTAAAGCCTTAGAGGTGAATCATAACTTGGCATAAAGTAGACCTGCATTGTAAACTCCAGACCTTGTCTGCACTGGGGCCTTTTTGTCTCTCTGCCTCTTATTTATGAAAAGGTGCAAGTGCATGAACGCACCCACCCATGATGAGACTGGATGAGAGGAAAGTGGGATAGGAGCCATAAGGTCTACACACCTTCCAAAATCCAGACCCATTCTTCCCTTATGCTTCTTCAACTACTAAGAACCCATCTACCAAGGACACGTTTATGTCATGTACTTGGTGACCTTTCCAGAGCTGCTCTCCTACACAGGTAACTCAAGACAGAAACCAACACAAGATAGTGGCTCCAGCATGTGTTTTGCCCTTGGGTGATTCCTACAGAAACTTGCACGTGATCCTTGCTCTCTCACCCCACAGTGCAATTACCTTGAGCCTCCTCAGAATGGCAACAACTCGTTTCTGGAGATTATCCCAGCGCTGGTTGCCTTCATATACCATCTGCTTCAATTTGCTGGCTGAGTCCGTGCGGTTCTCGCGGGCAAGGCGCCTGTACTGCTTATTGATCAGCTCCAATTGAGTGAGTCGTTCATGAATTTGCCGCTGGAATGCCTGCAAGGCAAAACAAGGAACTTGGTTCCCTTGCTTGTATGAGAAAGGATCAGATGAGACTATCCATCAAGAGAGATGGATGATGCCCTCCCCTTAAAAACAGACCTTCCAACTGCAAAAATTAAATCTAGAGAAAGACCCATATTTTAAATCATTTACTCAGACTTAACTCATTAGGAAAAGGAAGGAAAAAAATCCCAACCCACAAAGGACTCCTGCCTATAAAAAGCAACTCTTTAACTTATAAGCAGGATCTTGTCAGTTCAGAGCATTGGATTCTCCACATTAAAAAAAATTCTGGAGACAAATAAATCAGCCAGATACCTAGCAGCCACACAATGGCCAAATTATTGACCAATAATTATTATGTTGTCTATACCACCACCGCCAAACTAGTGTTTTTCAGTGATCCACATATTTCACACAGACAATAAGGACTTAGCAGTCTGACCATTCAGCCTGCTGTTGAGCATAAAAAAATGAAATTAAAAAAATTCACCTCAAATTTCTTCAGCTCCTCCTTTGCATGTATGTACAAAACCTCTGAAGAATTAGGCTTAGCTGCTACAATTTCAGATGTTTTCAGCCAATCTTCAAAGCAAGAATAGTCCTCCGAAAACTTTTGCCATAGGCGCGAGGTTTCCTCGATTCTGAGAGAGGGAGACACCAAAATGGAAAGGTTTTATCACAAGCTAACTATTAATTTTGGATTTTTTTCTTTTTCAAAATTCAGCATGTGACAAAAGCTACATCATTTCTTCAAAATGCTGCCACAGGCTTCTTAGGAAGAGTCAGAAAAAGAGACTTACTTAATCCGCCTTTCCATAGACATGGCACAAATGTTTCTCCACCGTCTGTCCAAACTCCTGCTAGTCTGCTGGATGGAGTCACACTGCGTCTCGTTAGCACATGCATCTGAATCATGCAGCAGGACTTCACAAATATTAAACACGGATTCCACTCCTGCAGTGTGTTGCTCTATGTCTCGTTGCAGATCCTGCCATTGGCAAAAGAATAGCTTGAGCAGAAGGAAACACGTGCGGCTAGACTGCAGACATACCCTTTCAAAATGCTCCAGAGGATGGGGAAAGAGCAATCTGTGTGTCAGGAAAAGCTTATTTAGCTTTAGAAAACAGACTTGCAGGGTGAGCTGTGCAGATGACAGGCTGACAGGTCAGGACAGAACTGCCATGCAAAAAGCGATGGTCCAGCTTTGGTTTCTCAGTGAAAGCTCAATCTTCTCGTTAACCATCTGGATAATTTTAACGCGCATTCAAAATCCAAACCCTACACTTACTAGTTTTGACCCTACAAGACGACAATGTCTCATATCAGCTTACACTGTAAGACTTGACAGAGAACTCACAGCACAGTTCGTGCACTTTCGTGACTGTGTGATCACAGGCTGATATCACAAAACACAGCACACAAGTAGCTGGTGTTACACTTTTTCTTATTCCCTTTTGTAGGGCTCCTGTTTTGACAAGAGTATTTTAAAGGGTCTGGCAAAGACCCTTTGTCTATTCTACACGACAAGCTTCTTCTCCAGAGCCTGCATCTCCATTATAGTCTGGCCTCTCGTTCTGTACCTGTAACTAATCCTAAAGTCAACGTAATTGAATCACAGAAAAAGAAGGCCTTATCCAAATATTTCTTACTGGAAAGGCAGGTCTGTACAACGCTACCAATTGCAAATATTAATAAAATTACAACGTCCACTACATTTCCATTTTTTCAACCCATTTCTGGCTTTCCTAATGAAGGATACAGGGACTTTTGCTTGAATAACACTAGAACAACAAACACAAATGAATATTTTACTGATAACAGTGAACAGGTACTCCCATTAAATGGTATTACTGATTTCAGTGAACAGATGAAGCAGAATTGGTTTTGCTTTAGACTTACAAAACCAAATCAAAATCAAAATAAAAAAAACCCCAACCCCAAAACAGACACAGCTTGTAGTAAATACAAAAGGAGTTGAAGGAAGATCTTCTCAGAAGTCAACAAGCTGCAAGGAGCTGAGTATCACCCAGTGGCAGTCTTCAGTGGTGTTACATGGGTAACTGAAAGGGCTGAGCCATAAATGGTCAAAATTTGGCTTGTGGGATTTGCAGTAATGTACAGCTTTAAGGAATGTAGAAGCCAAAATCTTTACATAGAAGAGAGAGTGTGAGAAGCAGACCCAACATAATTTTTGACAGCATATTAAGGATTCACAGCTGTTTTCTGAGCAAGAGGCAGCAGTGCTTTTAACACAAGCTCTACATCTGAAAGCAGGCTCTATCCCACTACTGGTACCTGGAGAGACTCTTCTGAATTCATTAAATTACACTGGATTAACAGCTGTATTAGTGAAAATACGGATTTGGACCACAGATTACAAATACACTCTACTCGGACAATGACAATGTTGCTGATACAATCTCATTACTTTTGGTCAAGCCTGGGTTCATGGAATAACCCTAGGCAGAATCCTTGCTGTTTTCCAAGCTGTTATTCCAAATGACCTGACTGTATTATGGTGAGACAACACAACAAACTAAGTAATTAGGCCAGGAAAATACACTGAGCCCAGAAAGGTACTTTTCCTTCAACTCTGCATAGCATTGCCCAGAGAGCTTAAACAGACTACATGCTGCTAGACTTCTGCATTAGTGAAACAGCTTTGAAATCTTAAAATTAATACTATTCATGTTTTAATCTTATCCTTTAATTGAACAAACATGCCATAAAACATTTCTGTGGATGCACGATGCTTTTAAATGTCATTATTCAAGACTGGACAGGTAAAGCTTTTCCAGTCACGGATGTCAAATAAAAGAAGCCTGTAGGGCATATTTCTCACCATCATTCTGCTCTTGCTGAAATAATGGTTCAGATAAAACCAGGAAAAATCTTTTTGCTTGTCGCATTCACATAAAGGTTGTTTCTCTAATGCGGAGCAAAAGAGGCTTTTTGTTTTTTTTACTGTGGTCTTTTTAGTCAGCACAGTCTTCTCACACTCAGTCTGCTAAAAGGTTACAGTAGAAGTTGTCTAGAGGTGCCCAGAGGTCTATGTTTGAAATAGAATCCAAACAACAAAGCAGTAGGTAGCTCTGAGCAGCAGATGATGGCTTTTAAAGCGAGCTGGAGCTTGAATGCTCATAATAAAAATAAATTAGTTTGGACACAATTCCTTTGTGCACCACATTCTTCTCTGCCTGGCAATTTATCACAGCCTTTGAGAATGCAAAAGGTTTGGATGGGGAGAAAATATTTCCTTGTTGTTTACATGACCATTCACAATGCAGTTGAAACCATCAGAGGCATTGGGCCAAGGCTTCTGGTGTTTGACGAACTCCTGCAGTGGAGTCAGTGGGAACCATCTCCACTCCTTTCGCAGAGGAGCTGGCCCTTCCCGTGACATCTGGGACATGAGTGGATGGAGAGCCATATCAACCACAGCCCTCAGGTCTAGGTCACTCAGGGATCTTTCCTTCGGCACGAAAGCAGCAGCCACAGAGAGAGAAGATAGGAATGATGGGGAGAACACTCATAAGTGTTCTTAAAAGCAGATACCATAAAGCTTCCATGCTTGATCCTCAGTTTTAGGGCAAACATTCTTGTTTAACACAAAGGCCAGATGATAGCTGTGGTCATTCTCAGCCTTCCCAAGGAGACACTTTGAATTTAGGCAGACTTATAGCACAGCCCTGAGCAAAACCTGACTCCACCACCAAGTCTGTGCTTTGGAGAAGTTTCTTTTCCTTCCCTGCCTGCTGGAGAGAGAAATTTACTCCAGGACTATCCAACTCATCTCACACTTCCACTTGGCTAAGATAGCTGGCACATTCAGCCATGCCCAATCCTTCCCATCTCCAGCACTTCAAACTAGCATAGATCCTTAAGATCCCCCTGGTAAGCCACTGCCTCGGATAAATGTCTACACGCACTCAACCAACACCCAACAGTGCTAGGCTGGTTCACTCTTATGCACGCAGGATTCATGCACCATCTCACTCAACCCTGATGGGATCTTCAGAGCCTCTCTACTGGATCAGGCCTCAAAGGTATATTTGCACAAGTCCACCCTCCAAAGTTCAAACATGCTTTTCTGCCAAGCTTGCTCTGCTGTCTGCAAGGAGGGGAAGAGAACTGAGCTAGGGAGGACAATACGTCAAATCACAGCACTTAAATCTGTCACAGCCACTTTGCAGGAGACCCGGCATTCACACCTTGTCAGCCTAAGTCATCCTCAAGGATTTTGCCCGCTGCCTGTGTCCTGCCTAGCCCTTTTGAAGTCTGTTGTACTTAATTGAGCAAACTATCAAATGTAAAAATGCTCTTGTTTGTGTTTTGCATGTTTTCCTTGGGTGAAGGGGGGAAGGAGGAAGTGGGGGTAAGTCAACATAATACTGAAATTACAGCAAACAAATAAAAATTCTCCATGTAACGCGTCTTGGCAGGAACATGCCGTGAAAAGCAAACAGTTAGAAGGCCTGGCTAAAGAAAAGAAACAGGTGATTTTAAACCAGGACCAGTTGTAATCAGCAGCATTTTAGCTCATTTACTCTGGCTGCCACTATTTCCCACCTGCTGTTCTGCCAGTCTCTTCTGGATTTCTTGGTCATCACAGATGTCATAAATGACAGGCTTGGAAAGCTCAAACTCGATCTGGGCCAACCAGGTGCGAAGGTTACTCGTTGTTTTGTCCAACAGGCGTACTAAATCACATGTTTCTGTCAGTTTCTTCACCCTGAGCAAACCAGGAAGAACATTTTGTTACAAAGATCTGCAATCAGTGGAAATGATGTCAGCAGAAGGTGATGACAGGCATGGCTTTATGAAGCACTTACTGTCACACCAAGCTGTCACCTGTAAATCAGAGCCATGTTTTAGTCAAAACCCACCTAAATTGGCTCAGCAGGTCCTTGCTCTACAGCTGCAGGAAGGTCTTGTGTGAATTCTTTAACGAAACTGTATGAGCAGAGTGAATTTTTGTAGCCCCATTCGTCTGCTAACGAGCTGTTCAGTCAGTTCTTGGACATTTGTCTAAGGGGGAGTTTGTACCCTAACATGCTGCAGATAAACTAAAAAGGGTGTCTACGGTCTTATTTTCCTGCTGTGAAATTACGTTCGGTGTCTTCTTCGGCAACCAACAGGCCCACCCTAATCAGCGAGGTACCACTCTGCCAACGGAGGCATCATTTGCCCAAACTACAGGTCCGACACCCTGGGTAAACAGATGCTGACAGGAGAGGAGAAAGCCTGAACAACAGCCACTGTAGAACTTACAGCGCCATGACATTAAAAGCTCTTCTAAACAACACGCTGAAATGTGCGGAGATGTGCCAGACTCCCACTGGGTGAAAATGAAAAAAAACAATCTCGAAGAGGGAGAATATCCAACGGTTAGAGAGAGTTGTGCAGCAGAGAAGCAAATGAACCAGAGATCATTTACTTTTCTTACCGCTGTTTGTAGCACAGCTCCCAAACGGCAGACAAACTTTTCTTTATTTCCAGCTTTTACAGCATATTCCCATGTTAAAACCTCTCATCAGCCCCTCAAATTATCCAAGTAGCATGTTTGCACATTTTGGCAAAATTGTCCCCATATGTTGGAGGAATAGCTGTTAAACTACCTCACTGCTCTCAAATCTTTCCTTGAAATTCTCATTTATTGCAGTTCCCAAGAAAACTTGCTAAAAAGCCCAACACTGGTGCCGTGGGTTAGGCTGACACTCCCACACAGAGGGTCACTCACCCTCCCCCACCTCCAGGAATGAGGGAGAGAATTAAAGGAGAAACGGGAAACCCGTGGGTTGAGATAAGAACAATTTACTACAGATGATTTAATACACAGTGTAGATGCTCACCACCCCCTCGTATGCGAAGCCCATCTCGTCCCGAAGCTGCAATCCCGGACGAACACGAGGCCCCGAAATAGAGGAGGGGAGAGAGAGAGAGTACTCCGAGAGTGGGAGTACTGGGAGAGAGAGGAAAAAAAAAGGCAATAGGGCAAAAGCGCAGCAAGCGCAAAAGAGCAAAAGCGGCGAAAGAGCCAAAGCGCAAAAGCCCTTCTGTCCGGCTGTCCCTCACTTTTATACTGGGCATGACGCTGCATGATATGGAATACTAATTGGCCAGTTTGGCCCTCAATATTAAGTTCCACCACAAATCACAAGGGGAATCGTGTCCCCTTTGTCCCAGCTATGCTCCCCCCTCATCCCGTCGTGTTTCTGCACTCCGGCACACTGAAAAGTCCTTGGAGTCTCAACCATCAACTTGCTATCAGCATTCTTCTCAGAGCGAGCCTCTGAGTAAAATCAAAACACGGAGCTCTTCTAGCTGTTAAAAAGAAGAGCTAACTCTTGTCCCAGCTAAAACTAGGACATGGGGTGACATCTCTTCTGACTTCGGACTGAATTGGAGCTTGCCATCTAGACCTTGGTAGTTAACGAAGGAAAAAAATAATAATCTAGATCATGATTTCCATCAGACCTGTCTTAAACATCCACATCAGGAGATGAGATGAACTGTACCAAAAAGCACGTATTTCTCTCCATGAACAGCAATGGTCTACCATGCAGTACAATAAACATCAACATTGCAGATGCTAAAGTCAGGTGAAATCATTCCACCCCGTCTTAGGGAGAACCCACTTCTTAGCCAGCATCCCTTCCCCATGCTGTCCTCCTGGCTGCTTGCATCTTTGTCTACTTCTGTCCCTGTGCCTTGGGATGGATTTCTGGACCTTGCATGTCATTTTTAAAATGCAGATTTCCAAATCCAATCCTAAGTCACTGTCTGGTCTAGCAACTACCCAAAAGAGCCTCTATCTAAGTCAAGTGCAGTGCAAAAAGTTGAAGTATGTGTTGTGAAAAGGCCAAACCACTACCTGTTCATGAGCCACCATGACCTCTTTGCCAAACTGCAGGAAATTGTCACCAGCTAAACAAAACTAGCAGGTGGGACTGGAAGGGCAGCTCATACAAGGGGATCATTGCATGTGCCGAAACACAGGGGACTGTTGAAGGATTCAAGATGAGCGTTAATAGTACTTGGCAACACTAGTATTGAGCAAGCTAGGGTTGTGGCGGGGTGGGGGGGGATGTAATGTCATCTAGGTGCAGGCAGGGACAGATTACACCAAGACAGAGGTGCCCTGCCAGGGTACCTGGATGCTGGCTTCATACAAAGGATCTGTCCCTCCTTGCAAGAAAAACAAGTAGTTTCCTGGCCCACCGTCCTGCCTGCTGCCAAACTGTCCTAGCGAGCTTCAGAGGAGAGAGGTCCAAACTGCCTGTGACTGAGTGGCTTTTGCAGGTGCCTGTTGTGGCATATGATACAACGACAGAAGATATGCAGGACAGCTAATCCACGGTGAATATGCCACTCTGTAAGCAACAACTAATCTTATTAGCAACCTTAAGGTAATCAAAGAGGATATGTACGTCAGCTAGATGCTCGATTTAAGGTAAAGCACTTATGGCGGAGATGTGGGAACAATCCTGCTGGATTTGTTCAGTGCTATTGTTACTGCGAAGGTACAGAGTAATGTCAGCAAATTTGGAGTCTCATAAGAATTAGCGTAATGGGAAGCAGGTTCCCCAACCTCTTGTCCCAAAAGGACCAGGCAGTATTTTCAATTGTTTCACAAGGAGAGAAGACGACAATACTCCTGGCAGGTATTTAGCAACTCTGCACTCTCCTAAAAGTAAAACCAGTCTCGCTTGCTTGATGCAACTCTGCAAGCCAGCCTGAAGGATTTAGCCCAAGTCCATGGTCCGCCTCGTCACTGCCTTGTGCCCACAAAGCCACTGATACTGGTTGTCGTGGTTTTAGGCTGATCCAGCAACTAAAACTCACACAGTCTCTCCTTCTCCAGTAAAGTAGAGAGAAGAGAAAAAAAAAACACCAAAGGGACTGAGGGTTGAGACAAGAACAGAGGGAGCACCCACCAACCATGGTCCTGGGCAAAACAGACAGGGCTTTTCTTAAAGCAAAACAGTTTATTAATGATTACTTAGAAGGACAAAGGGAAACAAAAACCGATTACTCGAGAGGACAGAAAGAAACAAAACCAGATCTTAAAACCGACACCTTCCCCCCCTCCCTTTCCTTTTCCTCCCGGCTCTACCTCCTCCCCCCAGCAGAACAGGGGGCAGGGACTGGGGGAGTGCAGGT